ATTCAAGAGTCTACAATACCTTAAGACCAAAGTTAAATTATAGTGGTGTGGCATATTCTTTTTGTTTTTAAATCATTAGTTTTCATTAGTTAATTTAATGTTAAATTCTATAAGGTACTTTAGTTTTGTTTAGATGAATTTTATGAGAGGACATTATGCTTATAATAAGTAAATACAGCAAAGGTAACGACAAAAATTGAACCACCCAAAAATGTCAGCTTTTAAATATTCTTTATGATGACTAACTCTGTATTACATAACTTGTCACAGTAAAGTCACGTCATAATTTATCACACACACAGAATATTTATCTTTCATTACAAATGCTAAAGGCCTGGCATGGCCAAGTGGTTAGGGTGCTCGACTCGCAATCTGAGGGTCACGGGTTCGAATTCCCGTCCCACCAAACATGCTTGCCCTTTCAGCCGTGGGGGCATTATTAGGTGATGGTCAATCCCACTATTCATTGGTAAAAGAGTAGCCCAAGAGTTGGCGGTGGGTGGTGATGATTAGCTGCCTTCCCTCTAGTCTTACACTGCTAAATTAGGGATAGCTAGCGCAGATAGCCCTCGTGTAGCTTTGTGTGAAATTCAAACAAACCAAACCAAACTAATGCCAAAACTGAAACACCATAGATGATTTTTCCTCTATTACAACCTTTTTCAGTTTCTACTATATTCCATTTAGACTTTAAGTGGAACATATGGTTATAAAATGTTTCAATTCAAATTTTAAATAATTATAAATAGTTCTAAAATACAGGATGTTCCTGTATTTCAAGATGGTCACTTATAGGTGTGTAGAAACAGTTGTGTTTGTGAATGGAGGGGAAAGATCAAAACTTGAAATTAACTTAGCTTATAAGAAGTTATTCTGTCTTTGGCAAAACAGAAACTAGGGGTAAAAATACTTACAGCGTAATAAATAATTTTGAACCTGTTTTTGTGCAGTGGAAATGTCGGGGGAAAGAAAGACAAATTAACATGAAAATAAACTGTTTAATGACCAACTTACAATACCTTCTGTTTTTTTACTATAATCTTTTGGATTTGAATTGATTTTAAAATATCTGTTTACAATGAGTTATTATAGTGGACCAAACATTAAAGTGAGGTTGGGTAAATCACAAACCTATTAGCATTTATAGAGGAACTGTTCAAACACGTACGTCACTTTAGAAAGAACAAGGCCTGACCTGAGTTTTACAGAAGAAGACAATAAACCTTGTTACTCTTTAATAATCCAACAGTTTTTACTATTTTAGAATTAAAATGAATTTAAAGCAGGTACCTCCCTCACATACACAAAAAGCCATTCCTTTTTGAGTTGTTGTCATAATCTCAACAAAAATGTGACTAAAAATCTGGATGTCCTTGACGCAAAGCAACTTACTAATAGTTCTCCAACCTCCCACCTTGCACGTGACTTATTGCACTTGTGTTAGGAGGACTAGATAACCTCCTACTTACTTTTGCAATTCAAATATTGGAGTTGCAATCGTGATGGAAAACACATGTCACATGGTTGTTGGAAGGTATTTTGGAGTAAAGTACCAGTTTGAAATTAATTTAATTCTATAAATGTAAAATACAAAACAGACAGACTTGGTGGGAGAATGAATAGAGTGGATCAGACTCATAAGAGACTGTACTGAATGAAGACACTCAGAAAATGCATTCTTCTCAATAGGGTATCTCTTTGCCTTCATCACCTTTTAAATAAAAAGACATCAGGTAGTGTATAATTACCTATGGAACCATCATACTCTCATGTGTGTTGTCACAGGTGGTGGAATAAGAGGTAGTCAAGGTCATATCACAGTACATTGTCGTTTACTTGTAGTGTAAGATACTTGAAGTAGCAGACTAGCAATAGCCAATGGCTACACTTGCTCATGGGGCTGAGGTGCCACCTACATCCATGACAGGATAACAGATGATTAGGAATAAGATAAATACTGTGTGTATATCTACCTTTTTCATCCATGGCTGCAATGAAGAACCTTCCATAATATTCTTATGTTTTCCAGTTTGAAATGAGATGTATCTAGGTATAGACTGGGTTGATAAAGGTTTCAAATCTTCCACTTTCTTTTGGACCAAAAGATATTGGGAGTAAAAACCTTGAAAGGAATAATAAACAATTTGTACTGCTCATTTCTAAAGCAGATCTGGAAATTTCTGATCTAGAAGTTGTAAGCAAACATGATTAAAAGGAAGAAGAAAAAACTAAATTATTAGCTGAAATATCCATTGAACCCAAAAATCCCTAATTCAAAGATACTGCTAATGATCTGAAACCTCCAGAAGTCTGCAGGGAAATTGTCCAGGACAGAAGAGAGTGTAGCCGCCATTGGTGAAGTAGATGTAGAAGGTAAGGCAAGAGGACAAGGATTACTTGCTGATCATTTTGAAGACAGACAACCACCAAAGCAAAACCATAATTAATGCATACTGGCCTGCTGCTCCTGTTTGGGTGAAATATCTTACTATGGAAGTATCTTTATGCTAGAATCAAATCTTATTACTGAGGATGTGCCTTTATGTAGAATCAAATCTTATTACTGAGGATGTGCCTTTATGTAGAATCAAACTGATTACTCTAGATGTGTCTGTGTAGAATCAAACTAATTACTCTCCATGTGTCTATGTAGAATCAAACTGATTACTCTACATGTGTCTATGTAGAATCAAACTGATTATTTTAGATGTGTCTACGTAGAATCAAACTGATTACTCTAGATAATCAGTTTGATTCTACATAGACACACTTTAGATGTGTCTATGTAGAATCAAACTGATTACTCTAGATGTGTCTATGTAAAATCAAACTGATTACTTTAGATGTGTCTATGTAGAATCAAACTGATTACTTTAGATGTGTCTATGTAGAATCAAACTGATTACTCTAGATGTGTCTATGTAGAATCAAACTGATTACTCTAGATGTGTGTTTATGTAGAATCAAACTGATTACTCTAGATGTGTCTATGTAGAATCAAACTGATTACTCTAGATGTGTCTATGTAGAATCAAACTAATTATCTTAGATGTGTGTTTAAGTAGAATTAAACCAATTACGTGGACATGTCTTTGTATAGAATAAAACCTATTACTAGAGATGTATTTTTGTATGGAATCAAACCGATTACTTTAGATGTATCTTGATGTAGAATGGAACCTATTACTGTAAATGTGACTTTATGTGGAATCAAATCGATAACTTTAGAAGTGTCAATGTAAAAACAAATCAATAGCTTTGGATGTGTCTGAAAGCTAGTCACAAATTTCTTAATGAGAATTTGATGTATTTATGTGTCATTAATTTAAATATAAAGTTTTTACTGGATGTGAGGATTGCAGTGGTTGTAGAATGTGTCTAAATATTAGATTTAAAGTTATTACTAGAAATGAGTAATGCAGTGTCTTAGAGTATTGATAAAGGCCTATAAGTGACTTCTATGGTAGGTTTATTCCATTAGATCAGTTACAAATGGAACAAAACTCCAGTGAATTAATGTTACAAGTGGTGTATCTCAGGACTTTGTGGATAATCTTTTGCTACTTCTCACATTCATTAATAAATTGACAGTGGGTTAACCAATAACCTTGTTAAGTTTGAGGATATCAAGTTAAAGTTTTGCAGAGAGATTTGGACTATCTAGGGAACCAGATTAATGGTTAATGTAATTTTAATAAAAGTAAAGTTATGCTTATTGGTTATACCAACATTAATTATTCACATAGCCCAGCAGGAGATGATGTAGGTGAAATTGAGGAGGAAAATAATCTGGGTGTAATAAATACTATCTGAAAAGAAGGCAAACTGGGATTTTGGTTAGAAACAGAAATATTTAGCTTACGGTAGGTCATCAGTTCTCTCTATATAAGATGTTGGTTAGGCTTTACTTGGAATATTTTGTTCAGTTTTGGTCACCTTATTTAAGAAAGGATATTGAATCTTATAGATAAAATTATATTGTGCATTTAAATGTTGATATTGTTTCTATCATAAATTTTATTGCACAAGTTCCCATAATTGGAGAATGTTCAGAGAAGAGCCTCCAGGTTTGGAATGGTTATGACCTTGGGATCATTCATGTGGTTTGAATGGAGCAAAGAAGGACTTGGGTGATATTATTTAGGGTTAAGATTGTTTAAGTTAAGGAATCCACAAATCCAGATAATGTTGCCATAAAACACTGTAGGCAGAAGGACTAGAACATACAAGTTAAAGATAAGGAAATTATTAAGGCAGCATTACTTTTGTTATAGGGTGTTATAGGTTATAGCTAAGGAGGGGATATTAGATAAGTATTTGTAGATCGGGATTGGATCAAAGAAAATGAACTTCTATAGGTAGTATGGAGTAAGTAGGAAAAAATGAAGAGAGCCTAGATGAACCAATGACCTCTTGTTTTATTCTACATATGAATCCTATCATGAAATATGGATTACCACTGATGTTTTGTGTTGTAAAATGAAACCCCTTACTGTGGATATGTATTTATGATAAAACCACAAATATTAAAGTTTGTATGAAAGAATTAAACATTTTAGTAACAACAATTCCCCTGTACAGAGCTCTACATTCAAAAATATATATAATTTTATTTAAATCTGAATTAAAGTACCAGAAAGAAGATAGTTTTCGTTTTTTACTGTTTGTGATTTTTCATAAACCTAAAACAAACTCAGCAGAAGATTGATTGAATCTTACTGTCTATATTAAATAATGTTTTGTTCAAAAAAATTACCACATATTGTAAGGAAACAGTTGTAAATATAGAAGGTTTGGAACAAGTGAAGATTGAAAATATCTCTATGTGACAAAGAATTCTAGTAATTACTTAAAACATTTAACTACACAGAAATCAAACTAATATTTGACCCTGCTCCTCTTCTGAAAAATATACACAAGTCTGGAAAATATTTGAATGCCTACATCCCAATGTCAACTTTTGTTTGTTTTTATGTTGTTGTTTTTTGGGGTGGGGTGGGGGCTAGTAGTAGGTAATGTTTGTCTTCATCGTAGTCACTGTCTGTATGATCAGACCTCTCCTAAACACTATGTTCATCATTAGCATTTCTTTAAACACTGTCTTCACCATCAGACCTTCCTTCAATACTGTCTTCTTCATCAGAGTCATTTTGAAAAGCAATATTATGTATTCCAATCACATCAGTGTTTGATGTACTTCTCAGAAGTAAGGACTGTCTACGAATGTTTAACTGGCTGAGAGTGGCTCTGCGTCTGTATTTCTGTGGCAAGCTCTTTATAATAGGATCATCTATTCATGGAAACAAAACAAAAATGTTATAACAGGACAAAAAGGAATATACATTTCAATATGTTAATGAGAAATATTAAGTTTTAAAATATTTCAATTTTAGTAAAAGTAAAAAAAAAAATAACACTAAATTACACTTATTGGTTTGTAATTGTACAGCTATCATGCCATTAAAATGATACTGTCACTTTCCGAGTGACCTCAGCGATACAAGTCCCTTCTTG